TCGGAATAAATGAATAAATAAACAAAAGAAACAAATCTGATAATTTTATTTTCGGAATGCAAATTGGAAATGTTGAAAATCACGCAGAGGGCAAATCCGAAGGGACAGAGCTGGCAAAGGCGGTAGTGGGTGAAGAACAAAATAAACAAATAATAAATAAATAAATAAATGACAAGTAGTAGAAAAATTAAATAAATAAATAATAAATAATAGATAAATGAACAGATAGTACAAAGTAAATGATAACGTGGGAATAGTACATGAATAAATAATAAACAAATAAATAATAATAAATAAAAGAAGCAGACAAATACCCAGATATGCAAATGAGTGAATAAATAAATTTAATTGATCGACAGAGAGGCACAGAAGAAGCAAAAGCAAAAGCAAGTAAACAAACAAACGAATTAAAACAACAAATCAATTAAAGAAGAAATAAATTAAAAGATCAAATTAATTAAATTAATTAAAATTAAATAAATAATAAAACACTGCAGACCTGCAGCAATAATTGTGTCCGTCACAAAAGCGACACCTTCGATGTTGCAGTAAATTATTTCGCAGTTTTCCCCCCGGGGAAAATGCAGCACGTGGCCTCCTAAGAAACAAAAAAACAAATAAAAATAAATAATAATAAACAAATAATTAATAATTAATAATAAACAATAAATAAATAATAAATAAACAAACTGAACGCGTCGAGGCAAGTGAACAGGTGCGCATACACCTCAACGCAGTGAGGTGTACGTACACTTCAATGCGTCGAGGTGTACGTACACCTGAACAGCCTCCGCAGTCTACACCCGACTGACTGGGAATTTCTCGCGAAAAAGAGTAAATAAATGAATAATAATGAAATAAATTAAAATAAATGATGCAATTATAAACAGAAATGAGAAAGAAATGGACAAATTGGCAAAAATGCCTCAAAGTTGAACGAAAGAGAAACACAGAAAGAAACAAAAACCAAAAATGCAAGCAGAGACAAACAAGCTCTGGGCCATCCACAAGGCACTTTCTTAAGCTCCTAGCCACCTAGCTAGCTAGCTAGCTAGCTAGCTAGCTAGCTAGCTGGGTTAAGCCTTAAGTGCATGCATGCATGCATGCATGCAGGCATGCATGCATGCATGCATGCATGCATGCATGCATGCATGCAGGTTGAAAAGCCCCAGGACCCCCGACTGACCCGGCAGGACTTCGAGGGCCTGGGGGTCTTCAAGTCTTGTGGTTCCGTATGCATGCGCCGAAGCTTTGTCACTTTTTTCCGTTACTTCTTCTTTTGCTGCTGCTGCTGCTGCTGCTGCTGCTGCTGTTGTTTTGACCCGCCCCAGCCACACTCGCGAGTCTTCTTGAGAAGCAATTATTATTTTCGTGCCTCTTATTGTCACTGAAGAATAATCCGTGAAGTTTATTTCTTCCGGCAGAGACAAGACCTGCGCAGCCGCAGCCGCGGCAGCCCCAAACATCCACGCATGCATGCATGCATGCATGCGTGCATGCATGCGTGCATGCATGCAGACATGCATGCATGCGTGCATGCATGCAGACATGCATGCATGCAAACGAGGCGAGAAGAGCGCCTATGGCCCTTGGGAGGGATTTAGGACTCCGACTTTAGGGTTTAGGGTTTAGGTGTAGGGTTTAGGGTTTAGGGTTTAGGGTTTAGGGTTTAGGGCACCTTGACAGTTTTCCAAATGCAGTGTTTCCCGTCGGTCTCTTTTCGCATCAAAACCATTCGGCCGTTACCTGCAGGCAGCAGCTGCATGCGTTCGGGTGTACGTACACCTCAACTCCTGAGGTGTACGTACACCTCAACTCCCGCTGCCTTTTTGCAAAGAAGAAAAACGAAGTGTACGTACACCTCAGCGCCTCCAGGTGTACGTACACCTCGGCGTGTTCGGGTGTATGCGCAGCTCACCTTTTTTCTTTCCTCTTTTTCCTCCTTCGCAGAAATTGCCCTCGCACAAACCTGAGAAATAAACAATTAAATAAATAAATAAATAAATAAATAAATAAATAAATAAATAAATAAATAAATAAATAAATAAATAACAAAACAAAGATTGATAAATAAATAAAAGGCGGGGCGTTGGTGCTTCTGTGTCCAGACACATGCTGGCATGCACAGCGTGTTTTTTGGTTCATGCACAAACCCTAAACCCTAAACCCTAAACCCTAAACCCTAAACCCTAAACCCTAAACCTTAAGCCCGAAACCACAGAGCACTTTCGAAGCCTACCAAGGAGATAGACTTCGTCGTTAGGCCCGTGAAACCCTATGAGGCCCTGCGCAAGGCAAACCCTAAGCCCTAAACCCTAAACCCTAAACCCTAAACCCTCGCCCGAATACGGATTCTCAAGAACTGCATTGTACACAGTGACTCCAAAAGGAGCCTATCTGAAGCTCTAAACCCTAAACCCTAAACCCTAAACCCTGAACCCTAAACCCCAAACCCTAGCGGACCTCGAATCCCTTGTTGCCGGCGGAGAAGGAGAACTCTGCAGCCGCAAAGCAGAAGGGTTTAGGGTTTAGGGTTTAGGGTTTAGGGTTTGCGGCTCGGTTTTGCTGCTTCG